ACTCATATTGAAGTTGTAGTTACATGGCAGAGAAGAGTTTCAAAGAAAGAGGATGAAACACCCTTTCGTTGCTTCATGCTGCTGCTTTTCAATAGTTCTTTAATCGTGATATGAATCCGTGACCAAACTTTAAAGATTCAAATCTCCCCTTACAAACTTACTCTTGAGACTGAAATTGTTGAAAAGAGCTCCTTTTCGCTGACTTACTCCTTTGACTTTTCAGTAACACCTGAATGATTGCGTAAGTGATTAATTCGAGTGTAGAATTTGGGTATTGTAGTTGAATGTTTTTCTATGACAGAGAGGTTAATTTTAAATATCATGCACAGTGATGCAGCATTTTTAGAGCTGGATGACGTTTCGAACGCTGTATACTGCTCAAAACGATATCAATGTATTAACTCGGGTTCATGATTCGCTTTATACATGTAGTTTTTCCCTCTTTCTCCCTCTTCCTTTGTTGTTTGTTGTCACTATCCACATTTGTGAAAATGACAAAAGTAATATAGAACTCAAAGCTCTGTAGTACTGTCATATAAAGAAGGAACATCAGACATCCCTACTATGTAGGATTCACAAGGAGTCTAGAATTAGTCGGGGTGGCATTTAAACCAACCAACCAACACTCTCAGAGATAAACTATATCAGCTGAACGACTCAACAGATATGTATAAGAAAATTATTGTAATGCACCAAAAAGTAATTTAAATAATCTACAAAAAAGTTCACCCATTGCACTACATTCACTTTGATGCAATCAAAAAATACGGTGGGACGGGGTGAGAGTATTAAAAAGTGATTTTGCTAGGTAAAGAATCGGAGAGGTTGGTCAATGAACGTTTGTTTATCGATTCAGCACCATACACCTACTATCGGAATGGCACAACACCTATACCAGAAATATGGAAAGTGATAACAAAAAAAACAAGGGAAAGAGAGAGATAAAACATGTGTAAGATAAATTGTGAAGCCGTGTGACTAAACTGATTTAATTATGACTGGCAGTAATTCATACTCGAAATTTTGTAATCCAGTTATTAATACGGCACTATCACCATATGATATTTAAAATAAAGTTATGTAATAGGAGGGATTGCGTAGGTGGTTCACTGGTTGAATTTTGACATAACTACTTACGTGTTTAGGTGTGCGATTCCAAGCCGATGACTTGTTTGCTCCTGAACCTCGCTTATACCAGCAAAGAAGGGAGGATGGGGTTGGCGTGAGGCTAACGAAACCACCGCAACTATAATGCAAAGCTGAGCAACAGTTTGGAACACAAACGAATGAATAAAATAGCAATCCTTGGAAACGGGGATTATTCATAAAATAGAGGAAATAATCTGTGAGAAATTTAACGAAAAACTGTCGTTGTTTTTTTTGTTTTTCAGGTTTCAAACGTATTTCAGAAGACATGAAATTAATGTATGGTGTTTCCTTGAAATGGTTGGCATTCATATTTTGGTGCGTATTAACCCCAATATTCACTCTTGTAAGCAACATTATTATTATTAATTATTTTCATTATTTTTTTTCCTTCACGCTCCCCGGTGGAACATAGGGCTTCAAACTAGTGGCTTAAAGTTCTTGTAGCGGTGTTTAATTTTAAAGGATGGGGTTGCTAGCCTCATACTTAACCTTTCCTCTTTACCAGCATTATTTCTGGCTTAGGGAAGTAAAGGAGTGCGTCAGTCGGGGATCGGACCCCGGACCATGTGCAGGGTCGGCTTGAGTCCCAGCCGCTATGCCACCGACGCACTGGCGTCGCTGCCAGGATAGGAACCTGGGTTTGTCATATTACTATTATATCTTTCAAACCATAAGAGGCTTGAAGTCATTGACTTGGAAAGTTATACTTAGCAGTCGAATACTCATTTTTGTCCTGAATTTCTCATTAATGAGATACACAATTACATATTTGTATCTTGTGGCTTCCTCGCGTTCCTAGTAGAACCTGAGGCTTCAGCTGTAAAGGCGTATCTCTTTTTTTATCCTCTTTTCTGAAGTCTTTTTAGCTCTCCTTACGATCGCCTATAGGCTATGATCTTCTCCTCAATATACAATCTCCTCCGTGTCGCCCTCGGACACATGCTCAACTCGTCCTTCTCCATTCAGCCTGAGCTCCAGCAATGGTTTGGCTGCTGTATGATGTCAATCAATAGTCTCCTCAGTAAATGTGTCCAATCCAACTGTGAGATATTTGTCGAACAATAGGTTCCTTATAGCTTTGTTGACAGAGTTCTTTGCTGCTAAATTCTTTCTAGCCGGCCACCTGATCTTTAGTATGAAGTCACAGAAGACAACCGTTGATAAAAGTCTGCAGGTGGATGTTGGAAATGCTTTTTGTGACGCACTTATCACGTTTCTGACCTATATGGAGGAATTGACTCATCTAAATTTTGTGTTGAAATTCTGGATGAATTTGTTGTCCTGCTGTAGGGGAGTGTGATAGATTTCCAAACTGATTTCAGAGCAATGAATGTATGTCTTGCTTTTCTGATTCTACCTCACTTCGACATTCTCGTCTACTCCACTTGTAGTTGAACCGATACCACCTAGCCAGACCAATGAAAGAAGTGACCTTTATCAAATGTCTTTTTTTTGATAGTGACTTGTTATTGTTGTTACTGTTGGCTAATTATCTTCATCACCTCCGCATCCTCATCCTCTATCCTCACTTGAACTGTTGTCTTTGCCGATTCTTTCGAGAGCTTGTTGGTTTTCACCTTTAAGTCTTCGAATTTGTGTGATATGAATCATAAATCATCCGTTAAATCCACAGACATTTGGAATAATGTAGATCAGTGGAATTAAATAGATTCGAAATTCAGGGATTCCGGTGAGTGGATTAAAATTGAGGTGACCATAAATAATAGTAAATTGTGAAACTAAGATAGAAAAATGCAAATATAGTACACATTATGATACCGATAATACAGTAAGCAGTACAAATAAAAATATATAAATAATATTTACAATTATCCTGTGTCACACTAGCAGTAATAACTATTCTAGGTTGTGGGATGGAGTTGGAGGCCATGGAATATACATGGAGTGAAGAAACTTTTTCTCTAAAGAAACAGATTGGTTCGGAAACTGCTTTTATGGCAGCTGGCTTCGCTCGCATATGCTTAGTTATCTTGAAGGAGTAAAAATTACAGAGAATCGATAGGTGGCACCTTGTATACAACCAGCAGAAAAGGCTGAATTTTTTCATTAATATTGAGCGCCGTATCCATCCCAAGATATGCCAGTCGATATCGCTACTCCTAAGTGACTCTACGACTCCTTTATGTAACTAATCATGTTGGACAAAGCTCAAGAAGACAACTGTGAACTTGTGATGACTGTTGTTATATTAAATATGTAACTATTTCCACGAGAACAGTTAAATTTGTGAATAAACACTGAGGTATCCAAATTCGGTAGCCTATTCTTCACCTGTTTTGGAAACAGACAACGAAAGGTGGATTTTAAACACCTCATCGAGGGGCAAAGAATGTGTTAGTTATTATTCTTTTGGAGTTTTGATACCAGTAACTTAGTAAAGTTAAATAGATACAAAAATTCCTTCTACACGATTTCAAAGCACTTCTCACTTTATCTCTTCTCTTCATGGAGAATTTAGCAAATTTCTCTGGATACCTGTCCTCATATAGTAAGTTTTTTAATTTCCTTATTTCGTCGTCCAGAGTGTCAGCTGCAAGGATTATTCTAATGAGATTTTGTTTGTATGCAAGAGGAACAAACCATCTGAAAAAATAGGTGCATTGGCCAACTCATAATTTCTTTTTTGCGGAAAATATCCCATTTTATAATGCTCTGTTATCTTGCCTTCTTGTTAACAGGAAGTCAATAAACGACAGGATATTGTCTTTCTTTGTTTCATAAGTGAAGTCAACACCGATTATTGAATCTTCCTTTATTGTTTGAGAGAATTTTTATTTGCTAGTTTTCTGTTTTAAGGAAGTTTTGTCTTTCAATCCAAAAGGCTTTTTCAAACTGGCATCGTCAATGAGACAATCTTTTGAATTATTTTTAAATAATCTGTTTTATGTGGTAAGATAACTCCGTCACGATGATCAAGTCTTCATTGTTGTTTATCATTTCTTCAATTTGCATGATGTGTCACTTAGTCAAAAGTCTAGGACAGTTGGTTTGAAGCTTTTCAGTTCTTCGTCACAGATAAAAGGAACTAATTCTTTCTCGCTTAACTAATGAAACTCTCAAATCCCACTGATGTATGGAAAGAGGATTTTTGGGTTGTTTATTAGCAAAACTTTCCACCAAGTTATAATTAAGCATTCAGGTGTCTTTTAGATGTTTCAGAAGCAGTCCTCTGGGTTCAAAGTATTTCGATTAGTTTTACAGCACAGAAGCTTGTGCTCAGTTTCTATTTTTACAGTTTTCGGATTCACATTGTGTTGCAAAGCGAACATGTGACAGTGTACATTGTCAGACAGATTCATAGCACGACCTTTTAGAATCAGTTCTATGGTGAGGATGCATACGACTTTGCTTCAGAAAGCCTGACAAAAAGAATGAAGACGAAAATCTCGCTTCTTCACTGTCGCTACCATGACCACCAGCATGTAACCTATCTAAAGAACTTTCTAGAAGATTAAAATATCCTTCAAATTCACTGTATCAATTCACCAATTCAGTCATTTTGAGGCTTCTAGAAATCCACAGGAAACAAAAAATTGCAGCCAGGGAATTCCTAGAAGCCTGGTACTCAAATAAATCGGCGACCAATTAATCAAGTATAAATCACATGATCAGAAAGTTTAAATTCCAAGTCAATAGAAATGATCTGGAGAGATAGGTGTAAATTAGCAATCAATCCCGACAACAAGGGATGTCAGGAGATACAATTATATCATCATTCATGGAGGGAGAAATCAAATAAGTTCATTTCATGCCATAGCTTTGTCTGAAGGAAGATATTGTTGAGAAGGTGGACAACAAAAGCTTCGCAATTAAACCAGCCAGCTCAGAGAACACAACAAAATAAAAATAATCCGCCATAGTTACAAATCTCCTCCATTATTGTACCTTAATTTTGCTCAGTTTCCAAGATCCACAGTAGGAAAACCAAAACGTTTAATATAAGAAGCAACTAACGAAGACAGGACTCCAAGTAGATGGACAGAGAAGCAGAGATGATGAACTTATCCAAACAATAACAACAAGCATATATCATCATCAACAGGAGGTATCTAAAAGAAGTTCCCTCTTTCACTAACCTGATCTATGTGGCACTGTTTCAATACTACAGGAAGGTAGCATGGATGGGGATGTTAAAGACGGTTAGCATCAAGAAGGGTAAGACAGATCTTCATGCATCTAAAATTGATGTGAAAATCTGTTGCGCTCACAATAGATAACAACAATTTCCGAAATGATTACACCGACGTTAGGGCAGTTGGTTTTTCCAGTATATTTCGCAGATTTGTCATGAGAGTCATCAAAGGCATTTCAAATGGGCTGCTGTAAACTTTCATCAACAGTCGTTCTCTTTGCTCAGTACTCAAGATCAGATGATCGGACAGCTGGAAAGAATAAGCAACAAAGGATTCAGCAACGAATGAACCAATAAATATGTAGAAAAAGAAGGAATCAGATATAATAAATATACACTATGGAGACCACTGTCTGAAACCAAAAAGGCTTGACAGGCCCCAAAGCGGGTTCTCAATATGCAGTAATCAACTAGTTAGGTGTGAGGGTCTTTGGGGGTAGTGACATGCAGGAGATAGCTTGAGGCGGTAGAGATGAAAGCTTGTGAGCAGTCGGTTAAAGAAGACTTCAGAGAACCGAATGAAATGGAGATATGCTGATGATGCCCTATGTTCCACTGGAAACTAAGTAGTTTGATGATGATAATAATAATAATAATAGTGTCAGAATTCTATTTTTTTTTTAGTTTTTTGCTGCCTTTAACAAGTCGTTTACCATTACCTTGTCTACTTCCAAAATATATTCAGATTCTCTTCATTATCAGTGTCATCGTCTATCAAGAATTGACATATATGCAGGCGTCATCCAGTCATGTCTATCGTTTTCCTAACTGGTCAGTGAAATTGGGTTGGTTTATGGCAAGTTTCAGTATATTTCTTATACCATGTGTAATGATAATCAAAATTATCAGAACACCTGGAAAACTTCTACAGGTGAGCAAAACACACATGAATAAATTTTATATGGCTATTTCTCGTGTTTCAAAACATTTATTTACTTGCATTATTATCATCGTTATTCTAATTCATTCATCGCATTCCAAGTGGAACTTATAGGGTGGAATTTAGTCGGAACATATCTCTGTTCAGTCTGTTTGCCACACAACTCTCTCAACATGGCTCTACAACCACCCAAAAGCCTTTACCTCCATCTCGCCCTATGATTTTCACCATGTCGTCTTCTGACCCTTCCCATTCGATTTTCTCTTGAGGGCATGGCCAGCGTGTGATCCCATCCAACGGTTTCCGATGTGTTTGTTCAGTTTGTATCTCTAATTTCTAACAATTTAATTGATAATTCTGGAATTAGGATAATATTCACTCAAAGTCCTCCATAAAGGACCTTAAAACATTCGAAGATGGATTAAACCTTCGTCAGCCGCTCTTCCCCCCCTCTCCAAATGCTCTCATGTGGCCACTATTTGATAGCCTCCTCCAAGTAAGTCCGACTTACTGCCTTTACGCGACTTGCTGGATGTTCTCCACAAAAGTGAAAGTCCCAATATCAAAGTCTGCAGCTTACACAAATGGACTGGCGAGCACGTACGTCTATCTTGGGCAGCCAGAAAACCCTGGCTGTGATTCCAATCTTATGGTGTATATGGGCTTCAAAATCCGAAAGAATCAAGTGACACTTAAATTTGTTCTGGTCACCAAAGTCCATAGAAGTGGGAGTCCTCCTGATGCTGCTCCACTGCCAGGCAGATCAGACTTCAGGTCAAAGGCTCTGAACAGTAGGTGGCCCCTTAAGACAGTCACCTGCTTCAGTTTGGGCTTTCGAGCAATATCTCAGTCCTCATGATGACTATAAAATTTAGTGTGACGCATCTCTTGGAGGCCATAATGTACAAAGTTTATGTTTATTTTCTGCTGTACTTTTCATCCGCATTTGTTAGTCCATACTGTTTCAAATCCTCTTCACACTATCTCCCCAATATCACCCTTGGACATCCTACTTGCCTCTTCCTTTTCAAGTTCCACTCAAGGGCCTTACATGCGGTGTCACCCAGAGTGTCCAATCCATCTCCACCTTCTCCTGCATATTTGTTGGGCGATTGGTTCTTGTTTTGTTTGTTCTCATGGTGTCTTCTTGGTGATTGTTATGACGCTAGATCTTTGTCTCGAGGTAACTGCTTAACTACTGACCAGTGCACACTTAACTGGTAAAGCAGAACACGCGATAATCAGCGGTAAAACCAGAATCATTTATTATGACAAAAGTGACTGCATTTATGCAAAAATAAGGTAGACTGGAAATCGACCAATCCTGTTGAGAGTTTGGAATTGTGCAAGCGTCCAATCAGAAAGCAGAAACAAATGCATGTCAACGACATGATAATAACTTGATGATTGCATGTGTTTTGCCTCTTCCTAACACCTCCCCTTTTAAGATAGGGCTATCGGTAGCTTTTGTATCGCGGAATCACTTGTAGGTACTTTGGCGGTCTTGGTTGTCGTTGTGATCTCCTTGGCTGCCGGGACACTTTGCCTTTGTTTCGAATATTTTGGCCATGTGACGTTTTCGGGTCCGTCGTATCTATCAGTAGCTCAAATTGTACGTCGGCGGACTTGGAATCGTTCAGCTGTTTACCAACTAGTCTATTTCTTATTTGATTGGCATGTCTGATCCAAATAAGGTCTCCAACCTTGACCTTGTAAATGACTTGGTTTTTTCTTCCAACGATCACTCCAGAAATCCATGGGCGATCTCTCCGTATGTAATCACGAACCAGTACCAACCGACCAACCATGAAACTTCTTTGCTTGGTGCCATGACGTCTATTGAACCAAAATTCACTATTTCGACCACATTTGCTCCGTCTTGATGGGATCGGGATAATTGTATCCAAAGTAGTACGTAGTCTTCTTCCAAACATAACTTCTGCGGGAGATGTTTGATTTGGGCATGATGGGTTGGTTGTGGTTCGATAAATGAAGAGAAAATTGTGCAATACATCCTCCATCGATCCCTCCCCGTTTGACTTCTGAAGTGCCCGCTTGAGTGTATCAACAAAACGCTCTGCTTGTCCATTTGACTGAGGATGGTAAGGCGGGCTGCGAATATGCTGAACACCTAGCCGCTCACAAAACTGTTTGAATTGTTCAGCTGTAAACTGAGGTCCGTTATCGGAAACGATGATCTCTGGAACACCAAATCTGCCCTAAAGCTGAACCAACTTATTTAATGTTATCGTCACTGTAGTATTTAGCATAATGAAAACCACTGGCCACTTGGAATACGCGTCGATTACCACGAGAAACTGTTTGCCATTGATTGGGCTGGCAAAATCTATGTGGATTCTTGACCACGGTTTTCCTGGGTTGGGCCACGGCTGTAGGTCTGTCTTGATAGGAATTTTCAAAGCCTGAGCACAGCGAGAACATGAGCGAACCACCACTTCTAATTCACGATCGATATTTGGCCAGTAGACGTACCAGCGTGCCAACGATTTCATACGGCCAATACCAGGATGCGTAAAATGTAGTTGACTCATGACTTTTTGTTGGAGACTTCGAGGCACGACCACACGTTCGCCAAACATAATGCAGTCATTGACCAGGGATAACGAATGTCGTCGTTGATAGAACTGTTTTAAATCTGGACAATCAATACGCGAGGGCCAGCCACAACGCAGATACTGTTGAACTGACTGTAATGTCGGGTCACACTGCGTCTCTCGTTGAACCATGTCGGCTGAAACAGGTAAAGTGTTTGTTGCCGTCATCAATACGTGGCACACGTCTTCATCAACAGAAACGCCGGCAATCACAACGTCCTCCCTTGCGGACTTGTTATAGCTGAGTAAACGCTAGAAGACATCTGCACTCTCGAAATCGTTTGTAGATTTGTACTTGATCTGAAAGTCGTATCCTAGTAGCATAGTCGCCCATCGTTGGAGTCGATTGGCTGTGTAGACTTGAATACCTTTCTTGGAGCCAAAAATCGATAATAGTGGTTTGTGATCAGTAAAAAGTGTGAACTTTCGGTCAAGCAGCATTTTGTGGAACTTTTGAATCCCGAACACGAGCGCTAATCCTTCCTTTTCGACCTGACTGTAATTCTGCTCTACCTTTGTCAAGGTTTGCGATGCATATGCTATTGGCTTTTCAACACCGTCTGGAAACACATGTGAAATGACAGCGCCAATACCATAGTTGGACGCATCTGCAGCTAATGTTATATCCAGTTTTGGATTGTAATGTGTTAGCAGCAAGTCAGACTGGAGTAATTTCTTGACCTTGATGAAAGCTTGTTGGCATTCTTCTGACCAGTTCCATTTAGCATCCTTCATGAGCAACTGATTCATTGGGGCCCTGAGACGATGTAAATCTGGCAGGAACGCACTATAGTAACTGATCATCCCCAGGAAGGACTGCAACGTACTGAGATTATTAAGGGCAGGCATCTGTTGAATTGCTGACACACTGGAGGGGTCGGGTTTGCGACCATCTTTGTCAGAAATGGATCCCAGGTACTTCACTGAAGTCATGAAAAAATTGCACTTATCCGGACGTAAATGGAAACCGGAATCACTGAGTATTGTCAGAACTTTATCCAACCGATTGAAGAGTTCGAATTGAGTTTCTCCCGTGACTATGATATCATCGAGGTAAACGGCCACTCCCGATACACCAGCTAATATTGCATCCATTATCTGTTGGAATATAGCAGGAGCAGGTTTAATACCATATGGAAGTCGCTGGAACTGATACAGTCCTTTGTGAGTGTTGATTGTCAGAAGCTCTTTAGAATCATCTTCGACCTCAATCTGTAGGTAAGCCTCAGCTAGATCAAGTTTACTGAAGTATTTACCGCCATTCAGTTTGACAAATAGATCTTGCGGTACTGGTAGTGGATACGGTTGATCTTCAAGAGCATTATTGAGTCCTGTTGAGAAATCAGCACAAAGTCTGATGGTACCGTTTGCTTTCTTGACAACCACTATGAGTGCTGCCCAGGCTGAGTAATCGACTGGCTTGATTACGTTCAACTTTTCTAAACGATCCAGCTCTGCATCAAGGGACGATAATGCGGCATACGGTACTGGGCGTTTTGGTCTAAAAACTGGTTTGGCATCAGGTTTGAGGTATGGTTTGGCTTTTTGTACGGTACAGCAACCCAAAGACTCTCGTAAAACGGCAGCGTGTTTGGTGCGAAGATGACTCATGAACTTTGCGGTCGGGTTCGGATGCATCAACATGTTGGTAGGACTATCTGAGCACTGTACATTGGAACAAACTGAGTTCAGTAGGACATCCCAGAGTTTCATCTTTTCGATCCAGTCAATACCAAGCAAGTTCAAATCATGACGATTGTTGATGTAGCATGTTCCTTGGAACGAGGTCGACCGTAAAGTTACGTCGCATTCAATCTAGCCAGATAATTTCATTGCGTCACCCGACGCGTTTCTTGCAGTATGCTCCGTTCTCTGACAAGGTGGACACCCGAGTGCCCGCCACGTTTGGCGAGATATGATTGCGATATCAGAAGCAGTATCTAACTGTAGTCGAACTGGCTTATGGTTGATAGAAAGTGTGACAAACTTTCTTTTTGACTCGAAGTCAACTTTGAAGGTAGCGAACATACTGCTGATTTGGGGTTTCGTCGACCGAGATCGAAACTTTCGTGACTGTGCCATCGTATTGTGAGATCGAATTGATCTAGGTTTCACTGGGGGACGAAATCCTTCCTTGTGACCATACTTGTTACAGATACTGCATTTATGTCTTTTATACGGATAAAGCTTACCAAAATGCCACGACCCACAAAACCAACAATTTGTGGGAGGCTTGTGTTTGACTTGCAGAGAATTTTTTGACTTGACAGCCTGAACAGAAGTAAATTCATGAACTTGGCCGTCCTCAATCAACTTCGTGTCATGCCTTAGATTGATGCTTCGCTGGCACTCAGCAGTTACCTCCTGCTAAGTCATGTCCGGTTTGCGTTCAATCTCTGCAAGGATTCGGGTACGAATATCACTGTCAACTGAAGATTTGAGACCGCAGACAAAGATCAAGCATTTAAACTGGTCATCCGTAAGTGATCGAATTTTCGATCGCTTGCATTCACGATTCACCTTACCAGCATAGGTGAGAATATCATCTCCTGGATCTTTGGATACCTTGAAACAATTGTAACGGATACTGAAGAGAGATAACTGTTCACCGAAAATATTGGTTAACGTTTGAACGGTTTCTTCAAAGTTGAGTTCTCTGGAGTTCTTTAGTAGAATATGATTGACATATTTGTTATGTTCGGCTGGAACAAGTTTCCGAAGGAGTAGTCGCACTTTGGCCAAATCATCTAGGTGAGCGTATTCAACCCGGAACAGATCTTCATAACGTCGAAACCAAGCTTCAAACGTCACGCCTGTTGGAGGTTCGAAATTGAACTCTACAATTGAACTCCCCATAGATTCAGTTTTCTCTGAGTTGGAACTGCCGAGATTTTGAATTGAAAACTGCTTTGTAAGTTTTTCAATCAAGATGAGCTGGCAAGCTTCAAACTGTTGCTGTTGTTGATGAAGGAGAAGTTGCATTTGTTCAAATGAAATCGTCATTTGGAAGACAGGCTGGATGTACACTGGATGATCTGGTTTTTATTTGACTCCATTGAACTGCAATGGATTCGAAACCCCGTCGCCAATTGTTATGATGCTAGATCTTTGTCTCGAGGTAACTGCTTAACTACTGACCAGTGCACACTTAACTGGTAAAGCAGAACACGCGATAATCAGCGGTAAAACCAGAATCATTTATTATGACAAAAGTGACTGCATTTATGCAAAAATAAGGTAGACTGGAAATCGACCAATCCTGTTGAGAGTTTGGAATTGTGCAAGCGTCCAATCAGAAAGCAGAAACAAATGCATGTCAACGACATGATAATAACTTGATGATTGCATGTGTTTTGCCTCTTCCTAACAGTGATTCTTTCCGACCCGGCCATCCGATTTTCAGTATAGAGCAAATACAGTTGTTGATAAAGGTAACATCTACAACAGTCTGTTGGGAATATTCTTTGTGATCCCCCCGCCAAGTTTCTGATCCGTATCGAAGAATTGACTTGACGTTTGTATTAAAAATCCGACTGAATTTTGTTGTTGATACTGGCTGAGGGACGAAGATTTCCAGATTTGCTTCAGGTTGATGAATGTGTTTCTCGCCTTCCCGATTTCCGACTGGATATCTTCATCCGCTCCTCCTTTAGTTAAGACAATGCTTCCATTGATGGTGATTGACGCTGGATATTGTTGCTGTTGTTGGTTTGTTGTTTAGTTATTTTCATAACCTCCATCTTGTCTACGTTCACCTGGAGTCCTGTCTTCGCCGGCTGCTTCTTTGGCCAATATTTTGGTTTTCAACTGTAAGTCTTCAATTTCGTGTGCGTCGGTGGCACAGTAGTTAGGACTCTCGCCGACCATGCAAATGTTCCGAGGTTTGATCCTTTTCCGACGCACACCTGATATTTTTGGTCGGTCTGCAAAATTTGGGCTACCGATATCACATGCTGAAAATTCCATACTTTTACCGCAAAATACGGTGTGGAATCAAGCTGTAATAAAAAATAAAAAATAAATCATACGCGAAATCCAGGTCTTCTAGATTCTTCGCGACTTGACATTGGTGTTAAACAAAAACAAGGACCTTATTTTTCTGCCAAGCTATCATTAATAAGTAATGCTTATGAAGAGTATAAGAAACCCCGTTTAGTCAAACCGTTTCGCAAAAGGTTAGTAATATTAGCAGCAGGAGGACACCAATTTCGAAAAATAAGTGGTTTGAATAAAATTCTTCGGTTAGACAGTAATCGCATGGTTATGTAATTATTTTTGTGCTTAATGAAGGATACTCAATGCTGAAAAAGTCTAAAATTCTCTTCCGCTACCCGTATTCCCTTCTAAAATTAAGAGAGCAACTAAGGATCAGCATACTTCAAAAATACAAAGTACCCAAAGGCCTTCTGACAAATAAGAAAATGGTATGGAGTAACTGTCATTCCTTCGAGAACCCGGTGGAACATAAAGATTCAAACGTCGAGCTTTGAAGTTTCAGTAGCATTTTTTACCAGATGGCTTTGAAAGCTATGCATTCATTCCACCTACGGCCCTGTGCTTGCTGTCGCCTAGGCGATATTTGGGAGTGCATCGGTGGCCATCAAGCCACCGCCAAATGCCTATCACCGCCTACAGTGTTTACGCAATGAGAGCAAGAGTACCAGGACTACGATCCTAGTCATCTTCTCTTGCTAAGCAATATCTCTTTCATTTGGACTAGCACCCTGACAACAAATGCCCGAATATTAGGAGGTTGAACGATAATTCAGTGATTAGAAAAGTATTCTGTCGATGTATATGCACCAGGAGGTGGCATGTGAGCAGACACCAAGTATTTGGGTTCTCTAAAACCAGTCAACGAGAGATTTGGATTATTAATATTATTATCATTATCATTAATTTCAACTTATGCTTGTTCCACGACAGATGGATTTTTAGAGGCTGAGGGTGCTGACGTAGTATTTCGAAATATACTAACGAAAGATCTAATACCCACAACTTCTATGGTATTCGCTCCGCCTAGTCCAAAGGCAAAAAAATGGCCGGAATCGATCGTTCAAATTACGAGTTATATTTCGAGACCAAATTTGAGTGCGAGATGATTGCTTAACTAGCTCGGGATCGTGCACGAAGGAACATGACACGATGGAGTACCAAATTGCATTGATGCTTGACCGGAAGCCTTCAGCTAAACAAGTTGACTTAAACAGTGAGGGTCAGCATGCAATGTTCAGTGATGAATGCTGTGGCCAATAATTTTGAGGAATTACCTAGTGCTACAGATTTCATTGTCTGATGATCTAGTGGGTGATGCTTTCGAGTTTGAAATAACGGGTGCTGAATTCCAGTCTCAATCGTATGACCGTCATCTGCTTATTGGGGATGAAGGTTCATCAGACTGATGGGTACCAGATACATCGCTGCTCTTTCTCTCGGTTACACTGACGATTGCGTAGGTCACCAAGAAAACGACCCAAGTTCAAATGAAAAATGTGGGCAGAACATTAGCCAATGGTTTTTAATCTTTTATGGTAATGACTGGCATGTGAAAAGGTTTGCTATCTTTCAAGTCCTTGTGCGCAGGAACTGGGGTGATTTTAGGTCTGCTTACAAGCTCACTTCGATAAGAGGACCAGTAAAAACTACTGGAGAGTATCGGACAGCTATTTACTCCTAATATGGGGTTCCTCTTTAACTTTATGCATCCATGACCTCATCACTAGTGATCGAGCTCAGGAAATTCAATTTACGGGGCTAGTGAGTCGGTCGTCCTGCCAGATGTAAATAATCCCGTTGATCCCTCAAATTTCGAGTTCTGACGGTCAGTGATACATGACACCACCGTCAACCACTTTCATTGGCAAGTGTCTGTCCCCTCACTCGATGGTTTCGTGGACCCCAATGGTCATGACTTCTCAGAGGAACTTCATATAACTTCACCCTGTAGTCAGTGAGCCACTGAGTCGGTAGTGAGAATTGGAAGGACTTTCAAGTGTTGGACTGTCGGTGACATTGGCTGACTATCTCTGTATACGTCACAAAGTGGCAGGAGTTATAATTTTTGAGATTCACTTGATTTCCTACCAACTGCTGAATAGTCAGAGGATTGACCTCATTGCCCGAGGGTCATGAATTCAACGCCTAGCAGTTGAATCATGGGTGCACAACAGTCAAGAAGAGCTTCACACTAGGAAATACTGGCTATCCAAAACTCATCAGTAATTTTCAGTGGTGCTCCAGCTGAAATCCTTTCGCAACCAAACTTCAAAGGTATATTACCACTTTAGATGTGAGCGGAAGTGATTTAAACACCGGACGAGTGTTCGGCTAATTTCACACAGAGGTCGCTAGCCGTGCACCACGAACCGATTCATTTCAGGGAAACAGCTTAGTCAGTTCAATGCACCCAAGCTCTGCCTGCTTAGCTATTTGTGTGGGCAATACACCGAATCAAATTTACCACTTCCAAGTGAATCCATGATTTGAAATTTTACACAGTTCCAGATTAATTTTCGTCGTAGTATGCCTTCGATCTAGATCGTGCACAATATATAGTCTACTTAGTGCCATTTTAATAAGAATCAGGAGAGTAACCATGAGTACACGATTTGCATAAACTACTGATAGAATGATATGAGTAGTTGGATAACACCACTCTCGTCAACCAGCAGTGCTTACTAGCTAGTCACATCCTTCTTCCTGTTGATACCCAGTATGTCTGCTCAATCGTCACACACGAATGAGGTTAACAATCATGAGAATATTTGGTAATTTCCTATTACATTCTCCATGAGCCTCCCAAAACTGGTAATTTACCATTTGTTTTAAGCCTGCAATAATATCGTATGAACACCACATGAACTCGCGCACATATTTAATTAGCCTTCAACAAAACGCTTCACAATTCTTAGAAGAAAAGTACTCAGGGTGGTTTCTGTCTTTATATAAAGCAACAGTGCGTCACATTTTTTGACTAAATACGCTGAAAACTTTTGTAGTGTGGTCACATATTGGTTGGAATGAAGCTTAATCATAATCAATTTGCGGATATACATTACAGAGCCATTATCCGGTTTAACCCATTGTTGATTGCATTCTCATTAGGTTACCGCTCTCCTTTCATGTGAGTGTGTGTGTGTGTGTGTGTGTTAATGGTAAGTCCGTCTATAATGGTTGATACATTTTACCAGAAAATTAGGCATTTAACTCACAGTTGTTACTGAAAATCAAACATTTTATCAAAACACTTCACTTATTTTTTTTTTTTTTCCGGTGTTTTGCAACATTCTGTTCCCATTTAATAATGAAACCCAACGAAAGCGAATCAAAACGTTGTGTATTCCAGCTTTAGAAAATCCTGATATAAGTGGAGATATTTCAAGTTAGTGCCTTCTCTTTATTTATATGATTATTTGTTTCTCTTTACATGTATGAGGAAATGAGTCCAGAGATGAGGTACTTGTCAGGAGTCCAATGGTAGGATGCTTGCCAATCCTTTATGTGGTAGAAGGTTCCATTCCAAGCCAACAACGCACCCGTAGGCATCGCCGATTGTAAGCCGGAAAAAGAGGGAAGGTTGACTGTGAAGCTAGCGACCAGATCTCGTAAAGAGTATAAAAGAATACGGGTGCTACTGAAATGTCAAACTAAAAGCTTGAGGCTCTATTTTCCTCTTCGAACGCAAAAGAATGAAAGAGAAAGAATGGAAATGAGTTTATCTCCCTCCTTACCTTGAGTGATCGGATTAGAAACTTCATCTCGCTAAATTTGATTGAACTGGTGGGAAATGGAAATGGTTTGTACATAACTGCTAGGGAGATCGTTGAATGGCTTCACAAGTTAGGCAGACACTCAAATGCAACCTTAGTGGGAAGCGAACGACAAGTCCAGCCTGGGTCCATAGATATCGTGTGATGAAGAGTAAATAAAGTCTATTAATTAATCATGCAGCAGGGTAAGAAAGACTGCAGAGAAGACAGTGGAACGCATGCGTGCTTTTAGAGATTCACATTCCGCTAGGTACCTAAGGTATTAATAGTAATATTGTGATACGTGGCCGAGCAGGAAGCTTACAACTGTGTGCTAATCACAGACGCTTATCTGATCATTGTTTTTGTTGCTGCTTTTACCTTGGTCCTAAGTAGAACACAGGGTCCTAGTTAGCTCATATCTTCATTTGATCCTGTCGTCTGTAGTTTTCTGCTGTAACGAAGTGTTACTGGTTTTGTGATTGTCATCTACGTTAACTAGAAGGAGCCCTCAGTTACGATACTATAGTCATTTTGAAAAATGTCCCCTCATACAGACGTAGATAAATAAGTCAGATTTAATTGTGACGACAACAGCTTCATTAAACCAAATACTGCATATATCGTTTACACACCCACGGAAATTTAAACTGTAAACAGGCAACCAATATCTGATTGGCTGATTGCACCAATCATGGCTTTATGGCTAACAGTGATATGTTTCCCCTACCAACATTTTCCTTGGCTGGCTCTATGACTGCCCATAAACTTAAATCTCCTCAGCGTCACACGATCCCCGCCACGTCGACATTTGTCATATGTCCAAATTGTCCTTCATCACTCGAGACCCACTTAGGCAGTGGCCTACTCGGAGTATGATGTCACTAAACAATTTTCTGAATCATCAGATTTTAAGAAAAAGGGTTGCCAACATTGCACCCGATCATTTTCAAGTCTTGCCAAATACTCTGTCAGTTTTCTAACCCCTTCATTTTTTTTATACTACTATCCTACCAGAATTTAATGCAATCACTGAAACAGGAATTTTATATCATTCAAATGACGTGATGCACCATGCTACGTCACCAACCTCCACGACGATGCAATCCTCCCCAAACTTATCTGATGTATAGTGTTATATTAAACAGGAACATATGAACATGTTTTTTATGTAACATTTTATGTTATGAAATTAAAAATGTCAAATATGTTTTTAAGAGTTCTTACTGAGTTGCAAATATATTTCGTCTATATTTTTTGAGATTTCTTTCAAACTCTTGCTCCTCCGATTTCACACTTAAATGATCGGCAAACTCAAAACACTCCGTATGACTTCTCGTTAAGTTTGGTATTTTTGAGAAATTATTAGGCAAGTATATTTTGAAAGAATTAATGTTCAGTGACTGATTCGAACGAGATCCGTCGAGATTGGTGTATCGTAGTCAAAGCCAAAGTCTTCCAAAAGTTGATCTTCAAGAACCAGTGAGACACAGGGAAGGCTTTAAAATATCCTCCCAAATCAAATTGCACCTGCATTTTCGGATTACGAGAGGACATGTATATGGTGTTCTAATTATTCGCTTAGTACTTTTTCTTGTCAGGTGGGGTTGTGGTTTTTGAGATTAAGGCTTAGGGTCTAAGGTTAAGGTTAGAATTAGGAGTTAGGATTATGGTTAGCGTAAGAAGTAGGTTGGAGAATAGCACCAGAAATATCATAGTAACATGACCTTCAGTCACCTGGACGAATGGGTATGTCGCACATGGTACGATGTCTCTATAGGTCATCTGTGTATTGACTGGGAGACATTCTTTCAACACATGAGCTACAACTACACAGTGTGATATCAAGCATTTAAATATTTCAGTGTATTTTTCAACCATTATGAGACTTCTTGGTGTCTGAATTCTGGTTGGTCGTTCAAGGACACTGTGGCTTTGCCTATATAGTTTAACTCTGCCCGAAATCCTGAGTGTTTGTCTTGTATCCAATGAGACGTTCTAATTCTTGCTTTTGTGATATCCATTTTCCACCAAATTCTTATCAAAACAGGGAGTTTCCAAGGATGTTTCATTAAGATTATAGGTTTTAAGAAAGCAATTACAGTTTACTACCAATCATAGCAGCCCAATACGAAACTCACGTGTAAAATAAGCCACCGAAAGGGAGTAGAAACTAAAATAAAATTAAATTAGCAAACAGACTAGTATAATACAAATCACTGATCGGCTTGAGTAGGGCAGTTCAACTAAAATTCAAGGAGGGTCAAGTTAAGAACAGTGACAATGGGCAGTTGAAATATAATTTTGTGGGGGACGGGGGAAAATGATACAACCAGAAAATCCTCTTTCCGGTATCAGAACAGATCCAATCTATCGAAGGTTCAAAGACTTATCAACATGCTGCTCACTACTGCTTCTGTGATTTGAAGAAATTCTATTCGTACTCCGTCAGGGATATTCCCGCGTATTTTGTAGACACCTCTCTATTTGGCTTGTTAGTGCTCTTGGTTTCCACAATCAATCAGGTATTCTGGAATAGAAATTCGAAAGGACCTTTCTTCTCTTTTGTAAACCCATGCCTGTAAAACTCATGTGTCCTACATATACAGGAATAAATATATTATTATTTTTAAACAGCCAATATGTCTAGCTCCACAAGAGGAGGTACTCTGATAGGTGAACACTAGTGAGGTGGTTTGTCCTTCATGTTAAAGTGATTCACTAATTTTCTGGAGAAGACGTGAAGGGGGTTTCCTTCAATGAAAACACAGGATAGTTGGTTTTCCATTAAATATGCTAACGAGTCTCCATCGAACCGTGTATACAGATAGGAAGTCTTTTAGAAGCGGAAAGTGTAGGCGGTTTACATGGTGTTGGGCATGAATTGAGATTAGCCGAATTATTTCACGGAATATACACATTGGGTCACAGGAATTATTAAGAAGACAATTGCAGCAAAGAAAATTTTCTTTTCGACGAATTGTTTCAGTCTATATCACAGCTATGGTTGTGATTGGTCAGTACTCAGGTTGCCAAATAGATTATTCCAAGGCCACCTGGCGGGTGATTCATCGTGGTCATCACTCCGTGTCTTCTTTTGTATAATTTATCTGATAAGGCATATAACCTCCAGTGAGCCACTCTCAGACCCGTGCCCGAATCTTCGTTTGAATTCAGGTTGCAAGTTTAACTGATACGTGATCTCACTTACCAACTCCACTTCCTTCTGCAGATTTCAAAATAGAAATTATTGTTAACAAACATATCGCCAGTTGATTGGTAAATTGTTGTGTATTGTGACAGAAATGCTATATATATATATTAGAGGAGGATCCCTTTACTTTGAGCTGATTTGTTGTGCAATAGGTTCTTGAATAGTTCATTGAAAAAATCCCTTCTTGCTTACTTTTCATCTCTGACTAATTGATCATCTGATATGAATTGTGAAGGCAGCAAAAGCAAGTCTGTAGCCACCTGTTAGAAATGTTCTCTGTCGCATGCCAAATCTTTGAACCATACAGCAGCATTCGTGGACTTGGCACTAGTATTGAGGATTGGGTTCCTCCTCCTTATATTTTTAGTGTAGCAGGTTTTTAGGCTGACTTCAGATAAATGATAGTCTGCCTTGCATTTAAGATCCCTCTGCAAAATATTCATCTGCGTAACGGTGCTACCTGTACAGCTGAGTGAATGAAGTGACTTTAGATCCCTTTCGTCAATGGTGAGTGCTGTTCGTTGCTCTGGTTGGTTATCGTCATGACCTCTGTCTTCTCTATGTCCTGTCCTTGTTGCTTTTCACTCGTAAGTCTTAGAATTCATATGTCATCATCTTCTACAGCCTTCTTATTGGTCCAATGTATTCCCGTTTTCTTAATCTCTATAGTCCGTCATGTAATCTCGTCTACCCCAAATTAGGAATTGCATCGGTGATAGGATACAGCCTTATCTTAATCCTTTCATTTCGAAGAATCCGCTGAGCCTTCCGCTGTGAGTCACGTGACATGTGGTATCATGATGTAACTGCTGAACGTGTTTTGTATAGGTCGGAGTCGCCGTACTCTACAGTGCTGGATTGATTTAAAACTACTTCGTAATCGACGCTGTCAGAGTCCTGTTCAAAACCGATGAATGCCCTGGTAGGAATTTGATTACGACTGTAGGTTCTGCTTGTTTGTTGGTGATACGTGATGTCGTAATCATTTTAGACACCTTTCTACATAAATAATTAGTCGCGTAACTCAGGTTTCTGCATATGAAACTAGCAGCCCACTTGAACCTGTGATCCACTGCTAAATTTTTATTCGCTGTAATGCATCAAGTTTCTTTCATTTTTTATTGTTTCAATCACTCACCCTTTTCATTTAGTTGCAGAATTCTCTAGTATATGTTTTAGTGGGTTTTCAACCTACTGCTACGTACATTTTGAAGGATGAATATAGAAAGGAATCGGTTTGCAATTCCGATAGAATGACTTTGTATCGCAAGACATGCTGTCTGCTGCAATTTTACTTAAATATTGTGAACAAGAAGAAGATACTGTGCAACAAATAACGCTACGAATTCTGTACAGTTTGCCAATATTTTGTCCAGAATACTATTGTTAGATATCATTGTCGCCTGTCAGCAAATCTACTGCTTTCCAAAGACTACCCAGCCGAGTATTTTTGTTACCATTCCTCGTCTATAACCAGCACTTCCAAACATCATGAGGCAGGTTGGCAGATGTATTCTAGACAATCTAAAAATATGTGAGCATTTGTGGAGGTAAATAGTTCCCAAAAGCTGTTAGTCTGCAGTATTCTTCATTTGGCGATCTGTGCTGCCTGTCACTGTGAGAGCTGACTGTTTATGCTGAAGTAACGCATCCAGTCATCCACGCCATTTGATCAGCTGCTTTGTTACATTTGTTCGCACGTAATCGCACACTAACACCACATTTCTGATCCCGAAATATATCTATGGTCGGCCTGCACAATTTGGGCTACTGATATCTATGCTGAAAATTCCATACTTGTACCGAAAATACAGTATGGAATCAAGCTGTAATCAAAACTAAAACTAAAATAAATCATTGGCAAAAATGCTTACTGATCGTATGTGTAATGATACACAGCCACGGTGAATAGTCATAACAAATTCAGTGAGTGTGTTAAAGGAAAATTGGCGAAATAGTTCAAGTTCTGAAAAGGTGTCAGGTGAGTGCCTAGTACACTGAGTTTTAGCTGAGGAGGGGGTACCAAGACCTCAACGAAATGTTCTTCGTAAAATAACTAACATTTGGAACGAAACACGTGGAGGCTTGTATCAAGAAAATGGATAGTATCATTTATGATAAGACTGAATAGTGTAAATGCAATTTTCGACAGTATTGGACAAATGCAGGAAAGAAGATTACCGGTCGCCACGAATGCTAATAATTGTAATAATAAACTAAGATAAGCAAAGTGATGGGATAAAAATGGATTACAATATTGATTTATTTATTACAGCTTGATTCCACACCATATTTTTGGTACAAGTAAAGAATTTCAGCGTGTGGTATCGGTAGCCCGAATTTTACAGGCCAACCATAGATATCAGGTTTGGGTTGGCAAAGAATCAAACCTCAGACCATGTGTATGGTCGGCGAGAGTACTAACCACTGTGCCACCGATTCACGAGATGGAGAATTCCTTGAGAGATGAAACTGAAGTCCAAGTTTCAATAGGGTGCGAAAAGCGCTCAAAACTGCACCTCTTGATTACAAAGCTCCGATTTGGTCAGTGTTGTTGCAGCTTTAGCTATAAATATAGAAGACGTAGACAAACCACGCGTAGTATGACATTCGGAATTATGTGTCTAACTCTGAATGATAATAATGATAATAAATATTACTAGAAGTAATAGCAAGACGCCTACCTACTCGACTGCAAAGGAAGTGGGTGAAGATAAGCTCCCGTATGGAGGATGAGGGTATCGAGCCAAAATTTGATGATATCCTGAAACTAGTAAAAGATAGTGTCAATCAATCAATGAGCAAGTTCGCCAGGATATTACATCTCACCCCTAGAATAGAGCAGTCTGAAAGCAAAATGCAATCAATGATGAAGAATTGGCCTCAGAGAGGTGGATATCGAGAAGGCTCCATGATGTCTAGTAATGCATATAGACCTAGTGAGTGTAACAGGATTCGTAGTACATCCTCGACAGATAAGTTGCAAGATGCAAGGCAAACACGGTTGTGTTTTATACGTTTGCAAGTGGTTCATACAAAG